TAATAGGGGGAATTTTATTTAGTAATGAAAACTATGGTTCTGAAGATAATATAGAAATATGTATAACTGGTTCATATAATATTAATTTTAAAATTAGTTGCCAAAACATGTTGAAAAAAACTACATGTCAGAGAAAAAAAGGACCAGGAAAAAAACCAGGTAAATTATGAAAGTCCGATTGGTGAGGTCATATGCAATGCCTTCTTTCACTGATCTCATTGTTCAACATGAGATTTTATTGCTTCTATGATTTAATGAAAAATAATCATCCACAGGTTCTCAAATTCTTCTTCCTTCTCTCTAGAAGTAGGTCCCAAGGGACCCTGCTTATGTCTAAGGGCACATACACGCCTTTACCAGGCCCTGTATCTATAAGGTGGGTGCATTTCATGCAAGAAACCTGACCTGAAGAACTCCCAATTTGACATTACAGCCTGCCCAAAGACTGACCTAACCAGTGATGGGGTATGTTTCTGTTCATGGGTTAGAGAGTGCCCCCAGGTCAGTTAGCATAAATACACTTTGAAACAGGATTCTTAAAAATTCAAGATGATTCATATTGCTTTCATTTTGCACAGCAACTGGGACTTTATCAACATGTTTTACAGTTAAGTATTATTTCAAATTCATTGGCTTCACTTTATGGGTCCAATCTTGCACAACCGTGATTCTAGTACTCATTCCTGGCCACTAGAAATAGAACAGTCTGGAATGGCATGACTTAAACTGACCTTGGCATTGCCTCCCTGCTCTCTATATGGATAGGCCCCAGACTCCACAAATGTGCAGATTTGTTGAACACTTCTATGAGTCAGGTACATTCAACCTGGATGACAAAGGCCTCCTCCCTATTCTTAAGGCACTCACACTCTAGAGCCCTTTTATTAACTGTCCATTCATTTAGCACATGCTTTTATTCATTGCCTACAGCATGCTAAGCCCTATTCTCTGAAGGATTTGAATATCTTATATCCTAGATGTTTATACCCCAGCCCTTGCCTGCTTCCTGACTGCCTCTGCCATGATACAATTTCTTACCTGCGGGGTGGCTGGGAGGAGTCCAGCGTGAGTCTGTGAGAGGCTGGCTGGCACCTGGTAGGCAAGCAGTCCAATTTAGGAGTGATTGTTTTTCACAACCTCCACTGAATAAGTCTTATGAAAAACTGCTGCCCTCTGTGTACACATCACACAGAGGTTATCTTGTCTCATCCAGAAGTGGCTCCCAGTTACATGCTTTCCCAGCGTCCCCTGACCTTTACACAGGCTCACAGTCTTCTCAGACACCATGGTCAGTATTACCCGATCTCCAGCATCATACATAGGAAGTGATGTCGGGATGGAGCCAGAGTAAAATAACAGGCTCTGCACAGTTATATGTACTTTCTGCAAAGGTCCTAACAGACAGCCAGGCAGTCTGATGCTGCGCTAAGATGTCAACAAATTGTCATGAGAGGTAAATTCCATCTAGCAATATTGTGCGTGAAAAGGCCTGAAAATCAGAAAGGATAGTTGCTTTAGTTTTAGAAAAGACTTATTAGAATAATCGCTCAGAATAGGCACTGTTGAGCACATCACAAATATTACTCGACATAGGTTTCATTAGTAAGCCCCTTTGCAGATGGGCAGAGAGGTAGGAATGGATAGGAAGGAATGGTAGGGTCAAGCTCACCCCAGTCCTGTGTGCTGTGCTGCATCACAGCTGAGTATAAGCAGATGGCCTCTTGTAAACCTTGGCTTTACTAACTCACTGCCAAGTCTAAACAAACCCTCTTGGCTAGAAATGATTTTACTCTAAAGGATTATTGCAGGGGCACATGGGCTATAGAGGGACTACAGTAACGGAGGAATGCTCTGACCACTGACCTGGAAGTATCTCGAGGATTAGGCAAAAGGATTTTTCTCTTATGGGAAAAAGTAAACAAAGCTAGGAAGAACTAGATATTGGGACATGGGATGATCAGGAGTAGCAGGATCAGATGGGTGGGACTCCGGGCCCATATAACCTCAGGAGGGACTATAAAGAAAGGGTGTGCTGGGCTCAGGCTGAGGGTGGGCCTGAACCTGGGGGAGGAGAGAAACCTTACCAAGGTTAGGTTAGTGGAGGCTGTGGCACATTTGACCAGTGGGAACAAGCCTTTCAGTGAATCGTTTAGGAAGCAGAGGAGGAAGGTGGAGTTCGGGGTCTGGCCTTGTCATAGCTGAACAAGATGTGAATTCCATCTAAAGCCTATGAGGAAAGGGGATTCTTTGCAGAAAGCCATTTCCCAGAACACAAACAGTGGGGGGATTTTTTTGACCGTTGCTGTTTTCCAGGATCACAGGGCTTGGGCAGTCTGCTCAGTTAGTATCTAAAGCCTAGTGTGTGACAGAGTCTTCCTAGGAATTTTCCTAAGATGGGCAGATCCTAGATTCATGCAGCTCGTCGCAGACCTTCAACAACGTCTATGAGGCCATTCTCGCAGAAAATGGGGTCAGGATCAGAATGTCTCCTCCTGTTCTCATCACTTTAGCTGTCACCCTGGCTTCTTCTACTTCTCACCATGTTTTCAAGGCTCATCCATGTTGTATCATGTGTCATTACCTGATTCCTTTTTAATTCATCAATAACATCTATTTTGTAGAAAGCCCACGTTCTGTGTATCTATTCCTCAGTTGATGGAAATCTGGTTAATGTCTTTTTCTTTGCTTGTGAATAATGCAGCTAGGACTTGTACTGTCTCATACCTTGGAGCAGAATCACTAGGTCATTTGGTGACAATGCATGTAATCTGAGGGGCTGCCAGAGTGTTTTCCAAAACAGCAGTAACTCGTTCAGTCTCTATGGTAAGGGGAAAAGGTGGGGTTTAGGAAAGTTGCAAAGCCAGTTGGAGAAAGAGGGGGACTATAATAAGGATGTGGGGTGACTCCAATCAAGCCTATGAAGGAGACACCACTTGAGGTTTATCAGGAACAGTGCTGTCACGAGCTGGAAGGCTACTACCTCGCCTTTGTGGACAACACTGGATTGAGATTCTGCTCTTTTTATGGCTTTGCCTCTTGTCATTCTTCAGAAAGACGCAGCCTGTGCCTCCATGTATGATGGCAGGCCACTGTCTTCCGCCCTCTGCTAGCTCAGGAGTTCACTGTCCTCCTGGGCTGTCTTGGTCCACCGGGGTTGCTGTAATAGAGCAGCACAGACTGAGTCGTTTATAAAGAGTAGGGACTTCCTTCTCCTAGTTCTGGAGGCTGGGAAGTCCAAGATCAAGGTCATTTGTCTGGGGTGTAGCGAGAACTATCTTGCTGCATCCTCACTTGGAAGGAGGAAGATAGCAGAGGGGTGGACTCCCTCCATCAAGCCCTTTGGTGAGAGCACCTAATCCCACTCATGACAGGACGAGCCCTCATGTCCTCATGTGTACGTAAAAGCCCTATCTCCTAACACCATCACATCGAAACCATCTGTGTTTTAGAAGGGTTATATTAAAACAACAGTGCGGGCTAGACAATAGTAAAGATCACCTGGAATTTTGCAGCCACAGTTGCACATTTCTGGGAGGGTAAAGCTGGTTGATTTTGGTTCAGTTGGGGCCATAGTCAAGGGGTGGAGTTGAAAAGAACGATTGCAGTCTGAGGCCCCTGTGGTGCAGGGGCAGCTTGGCAGCTTGGGTGGGGGCACGTGCACCAAAGCACTGCACACATCTATGCGTTAGGCACCACGGCCAGGTGGAGGGCTGGAGAGTGCAGAGTGCGTGCTTCTCCCCTGGATGTGGGGCAGTCAGTGGACGCAGATTTGGGTGCAGGTGACAGTTTGGGTACCTTGGCAATCAGCAAGTCCATATCTCTTTCTCACCTGCTTCAGCCCTACAGAGAGCAGCAGACATCCTGGCTGAGTTTTATGTGCTGCATTTCTGTACTGAGGTTCTCTCCATGCAGAGAGAACATGCTGGAAGCCTGCAATCACATGAGGCTTTGGAGGAACCAGATCCAGTCATGCCAATATTACTGCTGAAGCACAAGGTATACTGCATCCCAGAACAGTACAGACCCTCCATGAAACTACACTTCTCCCACAGACTGGGTGGACCCTGGTTGCAGTGCTGGCTTTCCCAATACGTGGTTCCTAAACTAGCTATTTTCAGGTGAATTTGGGTATTTCTTTGTGAGTCACCGGTGTGGGGAGGCAGTGTTGGGAGAATGACAGACTGTAGTCCCTGACTTCTAACACAAGACATTCCTCAAGGCTTCAGGAAAGGTCACATGACACAACCATGTGGAATGATTGCTCACTGTTATGACCTTAAGGACATAGTACCTGTGATGTGTTTATTACGTTGTGGCTCAGGGTGATTCTCTATCTATATTGTCTTTCAGTTTCAGAATTTCAGACAGCTGTGTCTTTCAGTTTGTGGCTGCAAAGTACTTTTTCAGGTCCACAATATCCTCCAGACTGGGTGGAGCAGATGCTCATCTCAAATTCTAAGAGATCTGACACACATTTTACAGACGATATCTCCCTCTGTCCTCATGCTGCACATAAGGATTGTGTACTATTTGTTGTCCGCTGCTTGCTCTTTTGGGTAGCACTTGGAGACCCCAGGCATGCTAGCCCCTTTCTCCCTCCCTTTCCTACACTTGCAGGCCCAGCCGATCACCATGGTCTTTAACAAAAGAAATTCCACATGGAAAATAAGCACTTTCTTGTAGCAAAAATGGAAAATGTGATAACATGTGGTTGCTCTCCTGTCCGTATTTTTCTTTGGGTGCTAGCCCCTCTGGTCCCTCTAACCTTTCTCCTTCCACCTGTGCCCACTTATCACCCACCCAATTCTACTCAGCCTGCCTTTGTTATGCAGAGAAACTTACCTCTGCCAATTTCCCTATTTGACAAACAAAGAAACTTCACAGGACCCCTCTCTTCAGAGAGAATGGACATTCAGAAACAGCACACAGAGTTCCTGATTCAGAAACTTCTCTGGTAATGTGGTGTTCCACTCATGTTCCCTTGCTCTACCCCCTTGCAGGTTGTGATTCTGGATTCGGCCATGCATTGGTCAAGAACCTGGACAAGTTGGGCTTCACAGTATTCGCTGGAGTTTTAAATGAAAAGAGCTCAGGAGCTGAGGAATTGCGAAGGAACTGCTCCAAGCACATCACTGTGCTCCAGATGGACATCACCAACCCAGAACAGATAAAAGATGCTCACAGCAAAGTTGTAGAGAAGGTGCAGGACAAAGGTACTTCCCTAGCCTCTGTTTTAATTTCTTTTCTCTCATTGCTGAGACAAAATACCTGACACCCAAAATTAGGGAAGAAAAGGTTTATTTAGCTCACAGTTTGTAGATGTTTCAGTCCATAATCAGCTGACTCCAAGGCAGGTTGTCAGGGTACAGGGACAACAGTTCATGCAGTGGAAGACAGCAAAAAGAACAAGGGCCAGAAGGGGGGAGAGTAAGCCTGTTCTTCTGTCTTATATTGTAAGCAGGTTATCCTCGCCGAGGGTGGGTATGGCACTCATAACATCTCCCTGCCCTCCTCTTGCACAGGCTCAGGATGTTTACAAAGTGAAGCCCCTGGCTCCCTGCTGAGTCACTTAGTTAAACTTCTAAACTTCTCAAGTTGGCACAATATATCAAGCATTACAATCCACCTCTTGTCAACTCAGCAACCAGACACATTTCTTTAAACTAATTTCCAGATACAAAGACATGCTTATTCTTATCATTTCACAACTTGAACATTATAATACAAATTTAACAATCCTTAAGAACCAGTATTAAATCTATCAACATTATATTACATTAGAACTGTAACATTCTGTCTCCTAGCCCCCCAAAGACTCATGCACATCTTTTAAAAAGGTGTTTAGTCCATCTCTAAGAGTTGCCAAAGTCCTAACAGTTTCAGCATTGCTGAAAAGTCCAAGTCCCAAGTATCTTCCGAGATGTAAAGCAAACTCTTAGTTGTAAGCCCTTGTACAAATGAACAGTTAGTTAAACGCTTCTAACATTCAATGGCACAGGATAAACATTTTCATTCCAAATATCACAAACAGGGGACTACAAAGGATTGGGACCAAAGCAAATTCAAAATCTAGCAGGGCAAACATTAAGTCCTGTAGTTCCATGTGAAGCATCTGAGGCAACCTGTGGCACATTGTGAGGTCCAAAGGGCTTGGTTGGTTCCACCCTTATGGCACTTCTGGTGGTTGTAGCTCCCGTGGCTTCTCTCTTGGGCCCACTCCGCTCCCTCCTTGCAGCTTTCCTTAGATAATCCATATTCCTGGCTTTTCCAAACTTCTGGGGTCTCCACAGCACCTTTGGCTTCACCTTCACAGCTTCACAAACTGCTCTCTCAGGGGCACACTGCCTGGTCTCCCAGGCTTTCTGAAATTGGGGTGGAAACCTTCTTAACCTCAAAACTCTTGCATTCTGCATGCACCTAAAATCAGAACCATGTGGGTGATGCCAAGGTCTGCTGCCAGTTGCAGCACTAGCCAGGTTTCCCTCTCTCTTGGCTATAGGGGTCAAGTGCCTGGATCACTGAGCACTCTGAATCCAATTCTGAGGAACAAATTTTTTATGCTGCCACTATTCTGGAACATGGTGTGGCTGTCACCATTCTGGAACACGCTGTGCTGTGACTTTCTCCTCAAAGCAAAGTCTTTCACCTTTGCACTTTTGAGGCTGTAAAGGGTGGAGACTTGCTGCTTCTTGTGATGCCCTCAGGTCATCTTTCATATTCTCCTGTTCCTTCGTAGCAATCCAGATCTCCTCAGCTCTATCCTTGCAGTCCATAGTTTTACTGGAGCTTCCTTTCTGGCCAGACTCACAACATTTTAAATCATCCTGCTGGGCTCTTTGCTCTTGATTCTCAATTTAGGCCTGGCGAAAAGCCCCTAAGAATAGCCATGCCACTGCCTTAACATTAGACTGCCTTGAAATGTCTTCTGCCAAATTTATTAGTCCCACTGCCATTAATCTAAGTCTCAGGCAAAGTCTCTGGACACAAACAAAATGCAGACAAACTTTCTGCTAAGCCATAACACAAACTGTCTGGACTCCAACAGCCAGTGCAGTCCTTCTTCCCAACAGAAACCTCTCGAGCCTGACCTTACCAGCAGGATTTCTATTACCATTCTGGTCTTCTGAGTTCTGACCAGAATCTGTCATACAGAACAGCCTAAAGCATTCTAGCTCTACTCTCTCAGATGACATCTGTGAACCTTTCCAAATTCTTCCCACAAGCCATTCCCAAAGGCTCTTGAACCACATGGTTGGGTATAGTCACAACAATGACCCCACTCTTGGTACCAAATTCTCTCTTAGTGACTTTTCTCCCATTGCTGAGACAAAATACCTGACACCCAAAATTAAAGAAAGAAAGGTTTATTTAGCTAAGAGTGTGTGGAGGTTTCCATCTATAATCTGCTGGTTCCAAGGCACAGGGACAAAAGTTCATGGTCGGGGGAGAGCAACAAGAGCCAAAACACAACAAGAGCCCAAAAGCGGGGAGAGCAAGCCTCTTTCCCTTCTTTATATTGTAAGCAGGCTACCCCCCAGCCCCAGAGGGAGGGTGTAGCACTCACACCATCTTCTGTCCCTCCTCTTGCACAGGATGAGTATGTTTTCAAAGAGAGGACTCTAGTCCCCTACTGAGTCACTTAGTTAAACTTCTAAACTTCTCAAGTTGACCCACTGTATTAACCATTACAGCCTCCCCCAACCCTGCTCTTGTTACCAATGCTCAACTCTTGTTCTAACCTCTGATGACCAGGCCCTCTGTTCACCTGGCTGCTGGTTGTGCCTGGGGACATCTGTACTGAGCCCCTTCTAATGCTGGAGCTTCTGTGGACACTAAGGTATTAAGGATGACTCAGGTATGAGTCCTGTCTTCAAAAACCTTGTAGTGTCTCCATCCTGTTCCCTCTAGCACCTTCTAGGTCATTCTTCCACCTTCCCTTCATTGCTCCCCTCCATCCTAACATGCCTTAGATTCACCCAGTTTGGAAACAAACAGCTTCATTGTCCCTTACCTCCCCTACCCACTCACTGCCCTTTCTCTTCTCCTTTCAAGGCTGGGGTTTCTGGAGTCCTCTTGCCCTGTTTTACTTTTCTCTGTCCAAATGTGGCTTTCAGCAGGCCTCTCTTACTGGTCTGACAAAATGAGCTGTTATCACCCTGATGACCAAGATGTTCTTTGCTCTGTAGCATGTAAACTTGTTCCCCACCTCAGCTTTGAGGTCCCCTGTCCTGCTCCGTCCAATCGCTGATCATTCTTTCTGTTTGTCTTGGATAAGCCCCTTCTTCTGTATCCTTACCAAATGTGAAAGCTTCTGAGGACCTGTCCCTAGTTCTCTGTCCTAATTCTCTGGGCCAGATTGTGCTTTCTCTATACTGGAGGTCTCTATCCAGCTGTGTGTTGGAATCACCCAGGGAAGTTTTGCAAACATTGATGCATGGACCCAGGATTGGATGTCTAACTTGTGGAGCCCAGTGCAAGATGACAGTGTGGGCCTCTTGCTCAAGAAACAAGAATTGAAAATGGTGATAGCAGAATTAATGAAGTATGGGCTCTTCAACTTCTGGCCCTGTGTGACTGTCTAGATCCCACACTCCTAGGGTCTGCCCTGCCCCAGGGCTCCCATGACAAAGACCAGTTAAAGCAGCATCCTTAGGAGAGAGTCTCAGGTATCAGCACAGATGCTAATGTTTTACCAAGGTTGAAAAACATGAATTTACACCAATAACTTTCAAGGCTCTATTGCCATCCCAGCCTTTCTTCTCGATATCCAGAACTATCCAACACCCTTCGTTACATCCTAGATCAATTTTATAATTATATTAAATCAGTAGTGCCCATGATATAAAATATACTTCAAGGTATTACCACTTAATATACCAGAGGTTCAAAATCAACTTGTCAAAAACTGACCTTATCTTTTTTCCTCATGTCAGACTGCAAAGCATCTTGCTCTCCTTTGTCCCACAGATCAGATACTGGAACTGCCACCTAACCAGTCATTCTAGCCAACAACCAGTGGGTCCCTGACACCCCTATCTTGCCCTTGATCACTGTATCCTTTTGGCTCTGAGCTCTGTTGAGTGTGCCTCCTAGATATGGAGCATCCACCCCTTCTTGCAATCTGCTAGAGGCTGTGGCTTATTACAGGTGGTCATCTTTTCATGTGTGGATGTGCTGACAGCCTCTATGAGACCTGTTCTTCCTTCCTCAGTACTTGTTAAATGGACAGTAACTTCCCCAGTGTCTTATAATGCCATCTGTCTCCTAGAGACCCATGAGCATATAGTGCCTCCATGTGCTGAGGTCCTCCTCCACACCAGACTTGTGCACAGTGACTTCTGGCTCTATGACTCCCTGTCTTCCACTAGATATCATCCAAATGCCTCCACAGGACTGTAGGACATGCCAAGCCCTTAATCTGCAGTACCTGCTGGTCCAGTTGGGAAATTATGATGAGGCTGCAGAACACAAATGATATTTCCACCTCTGCACATCAAGTTTCCTCTTCCTTGAATTTCCACCTGGCATCCACTGCCTTTTCCTAAGACTATATTACTTTTGTCCAACTGAGTCTTTGTGGCAGATTCGGATGCCACAGGAGACCTGGTTCACACCTCCTATCGCTTGAGCGGCCTTCTGCTAATCTAGGTTGTAATATTCACTTCCTCTTCTAGGTGCTCACTCATATACCTTGCTTGTATCTGTTTTGTTGCCCTTTTATAAATATTTGCCTTTCTCCCTACTCCTTACCACTATGTTCCTTGACAACAAGAGCTATGCATCTGTCAGGATTCTCTCAAATGCAAAAAATACAACCTAATTCAAAATCACTAAAGCAAAAAAGAATGTATTTTCTTATGTGCTTGAAAAGACTTGGCATCAACATGGCTGAACCAGCAAGGCCAGTAGGATCTGCCTCTATTTTCTCCAGTGTTGACTTCATTTGGGGACTTTCCATGAAGACCTCAGGCACTGCCAGTTTCTATCCTCTTTATACAAAGGATATTCCCAACAAAAGGAGATAAAAGCACCTTCTTTGTTTTGTTTTATAAAGATCTACAAGACAGGAGCTCCCAACATAAAGAAATGACAGAGAGTGGAATGCTACTGACCTGATTTGATCAGTGCATGCCATATGCATGTTTTAAAATATTACACTGTACCCCATTAGAGTTTGATGGCAAACGTTGGCAAAATTATGGTCCTTCCTGGGTTTAAATTTTTTTTATTTTAAAAAAATTGTAGATTCACAGCAAGTTGCAAAGGAACACAGAGAGCCATCCTGTGCCCCCTTCACCTAGCCTTCCTCACTGTGGACATGTTCCCTCACTGTGTACAACATCAAAACCAAGAAGCTTACATTGGTACTGTTCACAGAGGTGACTTAGGTTTCATATCCACTCGTCTGCATGCTCATGTGTTTGTGTGCGTAGCGCTACAGTTCTGTAACATGCCTAGCTTTGTGTAATTATCTCCACAAGGAAGATACAGAGCTATTCCATTATAGCCAGGCTCTCTGTTGTGCTGCTTTCCATAGATACGTTTCCTTTCCTCACAACTGGTAAGGCTAATCTGTTCTCTGTCTTTTTAGCTTTGTTAAAGAATATTGTCTGGGCCTCTCACCTGGTTTTGTATTGTTTGTGAACTAACAATGGTTTTAACATTTTTGCAGTCAGAAGAAAGCAGAGGAATATTTTTGACACATGAAAATTATATGGCAGTTAAATATCAACGATCATAGGTAAAATTTCACTGAAGCACAGCCCCTTCCACTCCTTTACATATGGCCTGTAGCTATACTGGCTCATCCTGTGATAGCAGAGCTGAGGCAGTGTGGCAAAGTTGAAATATTGATCACCTGACCTTTTATGGAGAAAGCTTGCTGATTTGTATGCTAGAATGTTCTCAAACTGCACATGGAGTGGTCAAAGTGTGCATGGGGTGAGTAAACTGAAGCCATCACTTGCCAAAAAAGAGATGTCTCCACTCACCCCCAGAGCTATTGAGCTCTTACAGTATGTTGGACATCATCTCACTTAATGCTCACAATCTCTAATGTGCGCAAATGTTAGACCACAAAATCAGGTGTGCAAGAAATGCATTTTTCTCTTCCATAACTCAAGATGTTTGGAGCTCTCTTTCTGCCAAATGGCAAAACCCACTTCCGGTATTTTGAAACTTATCTCACTTTGCTGGGGTAGCATTTACATTTCTGGGCATGGGATATTTGCTCATTGAAGGCCAGTGCTCCCTGCTGATCCTTGAATAGATGTCCAGTGCTGTCTGCAGTCATCACGGGAGTTGGTTGCCACTGGGCCCCTTTTGGCTCCTGTACCACAGACTTGCCTCTGCATCACGGAGGCATGCGCTCTCACAGGTGCAGAGCTCAGCCACTCTTTCTGATCTACAGTTTCTGAGCTAGTAGGTCTGGCCTAGGCTCAAAAGTTTGCATTTCTAGGAAGTTCTCAGTTGCTGCTGCTGCTGTTTGGGCCCCACCTTGAGAACCACTGTCCCACACCATGACAGGGCTCCAGGAACTCAGAGTCAGTTTGGGTCTGTCTAGCTACACATGACTCTGGTCCTATCTCCTTTGCTTCTCCAAGGTTGGGTCTGCACCCACCCACCTACCCTCTGCCTTCCCTCCAAAAAATCCCTCCTGAAGTTATTGCATTCCCTCTTTTCTACAATTTAAGGAGTGGATCTCAAGCTTGGTTGTATCTTGGGACCACCTAGGAAATCCTTTAAGTTTCTCATTCCTGTATCCCTTCTCTTTCCCTTAGTGACCCTGACCTAATATGCTGGGATGTGGTCTGGGTACTGGGGGTCTTTAAAGCACCACAATGTTCCTAATGTGCAGTATGTGAGAATGGAATATCACTGCTTGTGGGCAGCAGTTTTCCAAGGAGAAGTGTCCAGATGCATCATCAGTGTCACTTGGGGACCTATTAGAAATTCAGATCCCTAGGGCCCGCGTGACACCCCAGCTCAGGAACTACGGAGGTGAATCAGAACAAGGCTTCCTGGTGATTCTTCCAAGCAGGCTAGCAGGTTCAAGCTGGTTGGGGCAGAGAGAAGGGTTGAAAGACTACCAAGGACCACACAGCAATCCAGAGCTTGGCACTTCCTTCCTACTTTTCCTGTTTCCCTAGCCTAGGAAATCTGTTTAGTTCAGGGGATAAAATAGACTTTTATATCATTATGAATTGTTATAAAGGAATTGTCTTTATACACTTCTTTGAGGAGGGAGCAGGAGGAAGGCTTTTGCCAGTGCAAAGTGAGGTGAAGACTATTTTATCGTCTCCTTGCTATGTACAACAAAAACCTGGAATCCTTCATGTAGGAAAGGGCTTTGAGACAAAAAAAATAAACCTCCAAAAAACCATTGATCGGCATGTCAAAAATGTATTCTCTACACAATACCTCACGGTAGGTAGTTTTAGGTATTCATGGAGCCTAAGGTCCAAGAGTTTGTGATCTGCCTGGATTCTAACTCTCAGAGGTATGTGTGTGAGCTTGCAGAGAATGAAATGTTAAAAATCCCCACACTTTTCGGTCTTGCTCATCTTCAAAGGTATTCTTTTCTATCCCCAGGACTGTGGGCTCTGGTCAACAATGCTGGGATCCTTGGGTTCCCAGCAGATGGAGAACTCATTCCCATGACTGAGTACAAAAGATGCATGGAGGTGAACTTCTTTGGACCCATAGAAGTCACGAAGGCATTTTTACCTCTTCTTAGGAAATCGAAGGGGAGGTTGGTGAATGTCAGCAGCATGGGAGGTGAGTCAGCCTTGTTGCATGTGGTCACAAGGTGCCCATCACAAGACATGTTGCACTGCATTCTTTGTGGGCTGGAAAAAGAAAGGAAGGGACGCAAAGGCAGGGCTGGTTAAGGATTAGTCAGCTTGTATGTCTATTGTTGACTTACTACAATGAAACTGTCCTCTTCCTTCAAATCCCTACGTGCATCAACTCTTATCTATCTTTTAACACATCTGTTAATAACTGGGGATTATACAGTTCTTAAGTATCTTCATCCTACAGATGCCAAAAAATAAGGTTTCTAGATTTGGACAGCAAATTTCATGTTATAGGAAACCTGGTTTCTATTGTCTCTGAATCCAGCACTCTGCTACTCCCTGTGGCTGAGTAGGAAAATACCCTCCCTCTGTCTACACTGTTGAAGTCCCATGTCTGCTCTCCAGTACCGACCATGAGAACATTCTCAGTGTTAGGCAGCCTGTTAGGCACACTTCTGGATAGGATGTGACACTTGAGGAATTGTCTTTCCCCATTTCGTAGAACAAACAGTCAACAACTTGAGCCAAAGTCTTTTTTTTTTTTTTTTTTTTTGAGCCAAAGTCTTAGTGACCTTCCTTTCTATAAACAATGGTCATGCGAAGGATATCACTCCCAATGTCTGTCACTGTGACAGACACTGTCATACTGAGGCTCCTCAGGGCCCTCCTCAGCTCCAAGGAACATCCATGGGATTTTCTTTTGGGTCTCTGCATCAGTGACAGGGAAATTGGAGGAGTGGGCACTAGTTGCCAGGATCCTGACTTCAGGTAGACAAGTTCATTGAGTTAGTTGGCTTCAAGTGATATTTTTAAAATTAAGGGTTCAATTAATGATTTTGCTTTGTTTGTTTATTGATGTGTGTGTGTGTGTGTGTGTGTGTGTGTGTGTGTGTGTGTGTGTGTGTGTGTGTGATAAGGTGCACAATGGTTTTAGAAGAATTTCTTATTGGAGGTTCTTAGTTTTTCTCAGACAATAATTACTGGTGACTGCTGTCTGTTTTTCGTTAGAGCTGTTGGTTGGTTTGAGGCACAACCAAGGGAGAGGGGGAGGAAGGGAGGGAAGGAAGGAGGTAGAGAGTGAGATTTATGTAGGATGATCAGGAGCAACCACTGTTCTATTTTAACTTGTATGAGAACTCTAAAGTATTTCCAATCTTTTGGAAATGAAACAAGTAGATCCCAGGAAGCCATCCAGTTGCATTATCTTACCTTTGTCTTTGCTCTGCAGTGGTCTTTATGTTTCTGACCTTGGTAGAAGCTCCACCTCTCTCCAGTACCTTGTACTGTCTGGTTCTTCTGGCAAAGTCTCACACACTCCTTGCCTTGTTTATGCAACAAATATTTATTGAAATGGCAAATCATTACCTTCTCCTCAACATGCTGACAAGGATGTTATTCTCTTTTCTTTCTTTGTTTCTCTCTTTGACCTTGAGCAGCTCATTTGTTCATAAGATTTTATTTTAGTTGTCTCTAACGTGCACAGAATATGCTGTAGTAGGCCTGGAGTCTTGCTTGCGGTGGCAAGTCAATTAATAAATGATGACATCAAACATGTGAATGAGTCAAAAATGACAAACAAATGAGCAGATAGATGAATGAGGAACTTACAATACGAAGAATGCTCTTTTGTGTATCTTCAGCTTGGCCCCCATGCTTTATCCTAGCCACACATTCTTACTCTGTAGTCATAGAGTTCCACTGAATGAAAATTCTGAATGTTAAATCAGGCATCTCACTCCTGTTTCAACCCCTGGTTGTACAGATTCTTTACACCATGCCTTACCCTTTCATTTTTTTGGGTCAACATCAAGTCAACATTGCTATTGGCCTCCAAGGCTTGCTCTCCTGACTTTTTTCTGCCCTTCTTTCTGGTCTTTCACATTTTAGAGTGTAAACATTCTTAACTTTGTTCCTCTCCATGCCTCCCTCCAAAATGTATGACTTCTTCTGCCCAGAGCCAAAAAATATTATTGTCATAAATTGTGTTTGCTGCTCAGAATGTTTCTTGGTTTGTTGTGTTCACTTGTCTGGGGCTCCCATGAGCAAACCGAAGCCATCCTATCTCCCTCCTTGCTTCACCCTTTCCTTCTCCTCCCATCAGTCGACTCCTTCCCCCTCTCTGAGTTTCTCCTTCTACTCTAGAGCCCTGGATTGTGGAAGAGTTTTTATCAAGCCCTAGATCCTTTCCTCTCTGACAGGGACTGAGATCCAGGAGGGTAGGGCTTTCTGTTTCACTTCCCAGTTGAGAGAAACTCTTGGAACCCTAAAATCATGTGGCTCGCTAAGCTCAAACTTTCTCCTCATACCAGAAATGAAATAAAAACAATGACCACACAGAGGTATTCTGAGGCTTAAATAATCTACATAAAGAGCCAAGCATGGGTCTTCCTCAGTAGGGGCAGATAACCCAGTAGGTCTTCTCTCCCAGATTTGACTGCCTTCAACCTGGGAAATTTTGTCCCTATAGTAACACGTGTATCATCCCTCCTACACAAATAGTAGAGCTCTTTAACCTCAGTATCAGAAAGGCAGTTGGATAAATATTTAACAGAAGATCAGAAACCTTGAGATACAACTCTCTGACTGTACAAAGGGTAGTTGGAAAATCTTTCCCCTTGTGAGGTCTAAGAGCCTTTTTATTGTTAGTTTTGTTCATAGGAAATCACAGAGTAAACATTTGTGTACAGCTGTATGACCTAGGCGTTGGGGACTCTGGTCAGTAGTGATTTGAGTCTTGCTCTTTTATTATTAGCAGGTGACTTAGGGGAGGTCATCTCACATATCTATCCACCTATTTTATCTTCTGCCAAATAGGGTCTGTGCAGCACCTGGGCAGCACATTTTTCCAGAACTACTAAACTGTGTAAGGTAGCATTTCTCAATCTCTGTCCTTTCGATATTTTGGGGCAATGGATAATTCTGTCTTGTGCATTGTGGGGTGATTGGCAGCATCCATGTCCTTGACTCACTAGATTCTAGTTGCTCCCATCTTCCCATTTTGACAAATTTTCAGGCATTACCATTGATTATTCTCAGATTATTCTTAGCTGTTGATTTAAATGCATAGCAGGCTATGAGTGCTGCGAAGTTGTGTGTATATAGAAAGTACCTGTCTTGTCTGTCTTGTGTAGCTGTAACACAAAACCAAAGGCTAGGTACTTCACAAAGAAAATATTGGCACCAGTGTTTGGTGAGGGTCCCCAATGGCAACTGCTGTGTACATAAGGGCATGGATGCAAGAAGGTTAGCCGAGACAGCCAAATTTGCTTCATAATTGCACATGCTTGTGAGAAATAAACCAGCCACAAGACCTAATCCTTTTCTGTGAGACAGTATTAATCCATTCATGAGGGTAGAGACCCCATGATATTATTTCCTCCCCCAAAGCCCCAAGCTCTTAAAGAGACCTCAACTCTAAAACACTGGGGGCTAAATTTCTAGCATGTCAACTTTTGGGTGATAAACTGTATCCAAATTATAGAACACCCTTGTAAATGAGACCTCTCTACTGAGGGATAGTAATAATGGTTACTACCACACTAAGCAGTTTAAAATACTTTAAAATTACTTTAAATCAAAGTAAGAGATTTTTGCAAGTCTAAATATTAAAAGGATACAGTAGAGTTCAAGGGTCCAGCCTTATACTTTCAGTAGAGTTCAAGGTTTAATTTGTGTCAGCATAGAATCGACTATGGGGTTATTCCCAGACTTCTTGCAAGTTGGCTGCTTTAAGGGAATCATTTTAGCAAATAATTCAACCAGACCCTCAGCTGCTCATTGGCATGACAGCAAACCCAAGGCTGTACTCTTCTTTCCTGATACTCTCCAGAACTAGTGTGGGGCCACAGGAAAGGGAGAGAGCAAGACTGAGTTAACATCTCCTTGCCGGGTTGTGTTTGATATTTATGTGCCTGAAATAGTTTAATCCAAACATTTGTAGGATACAGACGTTAATTCACTTTTTAGATCAAATTCTCTACTCCATGTTAATGTAGCTAATAACTGATGGAGTTAGGGTTTGAAACTGAATCTATCCGTTTCCCCTCAACGGCTATGTTCTTCCCACTTTTCCAGGCCATCGAACAGGAACATATCAGGCAAGCAGGGGACATAAAATGTAAATCTCACTTCTGCTCTGTTAAAAGGATGATTAGGAAGAGTTAGCAATTTAGAGCTATCTCCTACACCAGTGCTTCTCCAACACACAAATGTGTGAGGGATCCTATTAATATGTAGAATCTGAACTAGTTAATCTAGATTGAACCTAAGTTCTATCTCTCGCTTCTAAGTGAGGTCCATGCTACTTGTCCCTGGCCCACATTTTTAAGCTCTAGTTGCCTGAAAATCGTGAGGAGGGGCTTCTGAAAACATACTTGCTGGAAATCAAAACCACAATAAGATACCACATTCACTAAGATGGCTATACGAAACAAAGCAAAACAGAAAACAATATAAATTGGGGAGGATGTGGCAAATCAAAATTCTTCTATACTGCTTGTGGGAAAATAAATGGTGCAGCTGCTGTGGAAAATATTTAACA